AAAACGATAGCCAATATAACCCGCGCCCGTTATTTTCGGAAATACCCGGCCCTAAACATTTGCCACCGAACATATCCAAACCAATAGAATATTTCGATTTATTTCTTACGTACCAATTTCTGAACATGTTGATTTTTTCTATGTGCAATTACGTTTTGAAAAAGAGAAATTACTTTGTACGATTTTCATTATGTCTTATACTTATGTTATTCTTATGATTTTTAACAAATATCGAAACTTCATTGGTATTGATTTATTCTCCATTCCTTTCGCAATATGCTGCTTTTTGAATTTTGTGAATATCACGCCTACTTTGGTTTTTACGAGCATTTTCGTAAACCTCTACAAATTCGCCGATTCGGCCCGGTATTCTTCGCCTAGGTACGCTTCTTTCGCTCGGTGCTAAAAGGGTTAAGAAATTATATACATTTTTCTGACGTTTTTTCCCTTCGGATCTGTAGCACGTACTGAATTTTCTCATAAATTTATAAAATTCACTATTTAGTTATTGGGTCTACACGTAAATCTTGTATTTAATGCTATTCGTAACACACATCTTTGTTCCTTCAACTATGAGAACATTGCAAAAAGATTTTTGTTTCTGCTATTAGACTGATGCAAAAAGTATTCAAAAGAGAGAAAATAATCCAATAACGTTGCGCATATTTTCGGTCGCTTTGTATAACGATGTAATTCGTACCCGACTTTGAAACACCTTGTCCCAGGTACGAAATTCACCAATTTTGTAATATGTGACTTGGAAATAAATTTGTATAAATATCGAGTTTCGAAAACAGGCTTGTTTCTTGGTTTCTTTAATCGCCATTTAATGACTCAACTACCGGCGCTTTCTGCATCAGAATGCAGTCAAGTATGTGGCTGCAGATGGTCAATATTTTCTGCAGCAATTATCTTATCTCTCTGCTCTTTCTGATCTGAGAATATTGGGTACCGTTCCGGAGACTCAAGGTTATCCCCCTATCTTTAGGGACGAAATATTTATACGTATAGGGTGACCGTTTTTAATCTGACCGTAGATCTCCGTAAAATCGTCCGATTTCAGAATTTCGTTGTTCTCGTTTCTGGACGCTTTTTATATTCGAAACCCTGCGTTACCGTTCAGTGTAATTATATTTTACAATCAAGACACGTCCATGTGCAGCGTTACTTTTAATCGAACGAAGGACGAATATCTATGTAAATTGGATTCCTAGCAACAGTTTCATAAAACAGCTTTTTAAAGAAGTACAGTAAGTTCTCCCTAATCTTTCTTCAGCTTGTAAGCAAATATGAACAATTTGGGAAGCGGAGATACGATTATTTGAGCCTTGCGTCTCGTTTTATATAATTGTTAACAATCGGCAACTATAAAAATTAGCCGCGAGGCTCGAATAAACGTATCTGCTCTTCCCAAATTGTACATTTTTGTTTTCAAGCTGAAGGAAAATTGGGGATAATTTACTGTACCTTCAAGGTATGGAAAGTTAATCCTATTTTAGCATAAGTTCTATACAGTCTCATAGATTTATCGATGCAATCGATTTCATGCAACGGTCAAGATAAAACGCTAAAACGGAAACTTCTTTACTTGCTAGATATGTGGTAGTCTCCTTAAAATTCTATAGACTCCAAAGAATACACAGACTTTCTTCTTTAACCCTAGAAAGATAACCATATGACAACGTACGTAAAAGATAACCATACGCTTCAGAGGCGCATGCTTTTCTAAGGCGTCAATTTTATACTAACAATGGATATTTATTTAAGTTAATCTGGTCATTTTAAAGGTTTGGCATTATTGTAAAAATAAAATGCATTTATATTATATTTTTTTATATTTTAAGTAATTTTAAACTTAAATCACTAGACCTCTATGAAAAATTAACAAAAATCAACAGTCTTCGCAGGCGCCTCTGCGACGTAGGTTATCTTTCTCGGGTTAATGTGTCTAATCTTCTATTTATTTGTTTACACCGCTAAATTTTGTACACAGTAGGGTTAAGGTACCTAATCTGAGACCTGACCTATTTCGTCCGAATCATAATTTTCGAATACAAAACACTTTGATTAAAAATAGATGCACGTTTAAAAAGCTAAAATATGTATTCTTTTACAATCTACTGGAAAATACAAGAAAAAGATCTCCACTTTTTCGTAATAATGAAAAACTGAATGTATGTAAATTCACAGATTTGAAAAATCGGTTGCTAATATGAGACCCAGTTCGGATTTTTCAGGAGATTTATTCTTTGTGCCTTCTTTCTCACATTGGCGTGCAAAATTTGTTTCTTCAGCGTCACGGTCTTCGTAGACCCATCAGTAACAATTTATGCATTGAAC